CTTCCATCTCTAATACAATCAAGGAAAATTAGATGAGATCATTTTACTGTGTTTAAAAACACATTACATTAGTCAAGTCCCTCTTGCTGGCAGACAGATCATTAAGACACTGAGATTGTCCCAAATGTTCTTTTTCCGTCAAACTAAACATGCAGAGTTCTCTAAATCCATTTTAACTAACTAGCAAAAACCAGTAGAGATGTTTATCTGGGGTCACAAATAAGTCAGGTGGTACCTCAACTTGAAACACTGCAAAGAGGGCTCCCCCTTGTTTCCTGCTTCTGAGCCCCACCTCTTGCATCTGCTGCTCCTGGCCCCGCTGCCCAGCCAGCCCTAACTAAGCCCCTAGCACCCCACCTCCAGATTTAGCACTGCCCCACTTAACACTCTGCTGTGAGCATTAGCCACTAGAATAGTCTTTGCAAACATTTTCAGTGGCTGTATCACAGTCCAGTGTGGCCCTGGCACAAGGCAACCATTCCCACGTGATAGGACACTTAAGCTTGTCTTGCAGCCAAATCAGGATGGGATGAAGCTGCTACTGTGACAGCCCTGTGGCCTCGGTGCCACCAGCCTTTCAGGAGAGGAAGGACTTGGCTTTTGAAAAAGGAGACTACAGCCAGATATCCCTGCATTCACCTCTCTCACCCACCCCCAACATCCAGGAGAGGAGAGAGAAATCCATTCCTGCAAATAGGTCCCTGGCCTCAGCAGTCTGAGCTATGCCTCCGACTGACCTTGCCCATCAGGCCTCAGTGTTGGATGCAGGCTTTGCTTCTTTGTCCTCACCAAATAGTTGGAAAAAACAATGGTTCACCAGGATTCAGATCTGTGGAAATGTGGGTCATGCCTGAGCATTGCAGGCCACATTCAAGGTGGCCCTCCAGGACTGTGATCTTGATGGGTGATTTTGCCCTGCAGAGGACACCTAGCCATGTCTGGAGGAGATCTGGGTTGTCACAGCTGAAGGGTAGGGATGCTGCTGCATATCCTGCAAGGCACAGACAGTTCCTAAAACAGACAATTACCTGCCCTGAAATGCCAGCAGCTGCAAGGCTGAGAAGCCCGCCCTAGAGTGCAGTCAGTCCCTGCAAAGCTCCCACCAGGAGACTGCAGAGCTGAGAGCCAATGGGGTAGGGTGTCCAGAAGGCTGCAGTCCAAGTCACACCAGCTTCCACAGGACAAGAGGATGGAGAAGGGACAGGCAGTCTGGGGACCAGAGGCTCACTCTGTTGGGTAGATGGTGGGTTACCTGGATGCACGACTGAGCATCATCTTTGTCTTCCCTGGAATCCTTCCTAACTCCAGAGCCAGGTCACAGGCGGACTTTAGTCACAGCTTTGCCGAGGCACCTCTGAGGGTGGCCCTGAGGACTGCTGCCTCCCAAAGGGATCCACCGAGAACACCCCCAGCCCCACTCCAGCGCTTCCTACCTACGCCATCAGGTGCCACACCAGTCACATCACCCCTTCCTGGACAGGCTGTGAGTAGCTCCCTCTTACCCACTGAGAAACGCCTGGACTTTGAGGCAGGCATCCGGGGCCCACCATACCTTTCACACCACACCACACAGTCCTCTACTCTGGACTAGCTGGGCTGCCTCAGCCTGCCCCACCCTCAGTCCTGCTCAGCAGCAGCTCAGCCCTGCATGTGCCCTCACACTCCTCATCTGCCTGTTGACACTGCCCGACATCCAAAATGTCCAGCTCCAGCCCTTCCAAAAACTTACAGTGTCCCCCTCTAAGCCTCCTCGGTCCCCAACACTGACCCTACATTGCCTGCTGAGGGTCAGAGTGGTCCAGCTCCTGTCTCAGCTCATCCCCGGCTGTGAGCTCTACCTCGTGTGTAGGGGCCAGATCCCCCCCACCTCCGGGCTCTGCTGGCATCCCCCAAAAGCGTCAGCATATGTGTTTGTCCACTTCCTACTAAAAGTGTCCTGCCAAGACCAGTTTTCAAGTTTAAAGCAGGAAATGGTGACTCTGCTCCCCATAGCTGCAAAAGCCTGTGGATGTAAACAGTGGGGCTCAGGAAACACCCACCCTTCCCTCCCAGCCTCAGGCCACAAAGCAAGGGAGGCCTGTAGGAGAGATGAGTGCAGATTCCGAGGTCTGCATGCCCTGAGGGGGAGACCGGGGCTGAGAACCATGGATGCCCGGATGCCCATGCCCTTCACCCTTGACCTGAACCATTCACAGCACCACAAGCCAGAGCTGAGCAGGTAACCCCTCCTCGATAGATGTCAAAAAGGGAGACATACAGGTGTTAAGGTGCAAGATGGCAGAAGACACCAAGAGCCTGCGGTGTCTTTTGGCACGTGCACTAATGTGACATTTCGGCGACCTGGTTTGTGCCAGTATGCCAGTAAATGTGAAGAAGGGCTGAAAACAGAAGTTGAAGAGTTTTTACACCTTTAAAATCTGTGTCTGTAAGCACAGGCAGAGTTCTCTGGGACCTCGTGGGCTGTCCAAGAGGATGCTGCTCTGAAGGCACTCTCCCCAGAAGAAGAGTCAGGGGGTGCCTAGTTTCCCTCCCATGCACCGCTGGTGGGCGTGTAAAATTACTAGAATTCTTGCCAAGGGCAATATGGCAGGTTAACCATTAACATGACTAGACCCACTGCCTCTGACCCTGCATTTCCTAGGAATTTTAGCTTACAGATCCACCGACGCAAAACGACCCACCAGCAAGGATAGCTATCGCAGCCTTGTTAGTAAAAGCAAACCCCTGGGAACAACCTACATGCTTAACAGCAGGGGAGCGGCTAAATAAATGATAGGACATCCGGGTAATGGAATAAAAGAATGGAAAAGCCGTTCTGTGCCAATATGGAGCCATCTCTAAGATAGACTGTCAAGGGAAGCGATCACAGTGCAGGGCACTGCGGAGCTCATTACCATCTGCGGGGCTTGTAGAGGAATAATGACTTGGTAAAGGAACAACTGCTTGAGAAGTCATAGGCTCTGAAAGTGGACACAGGAAGTCAGGACAATCAGTGGCCTCTGAGGAAACACAAGAGGCAGGCCAGACCGAGGGAAAGGGACTTTCCCCTCTGTGCCCTTCAGTGGGTTTCCATCACGCTCCCTGACAGCATACTCCCTATTAAGAAATCATTTAAAGCACAAAGGACACACAGCCATGTTTCTTCTGTTCCCTTTCCTTGTTTCTTCTCATCTCACCTGCCTCGTCCTCGCCACACCCACCTGCCTGTTGCCTGCCCTGCCACGTCACACCATGGGAGAAGCAGAAAAAGCAGTGGGTGCGGTGTTGAGGGTGGGCTGTGACGCCAGTTGTGTGAGTGCTCTCAGGTCTGCATACCTGCACTGGCTCTGCAGCCAGCAGGGATCAGCAGGGATCAGAAAGGCTCCCCTGGGGAAGCCAGGAGGATTAAAGCAGCTTGCAGGTGGGAAGGCCCCAGCACAGCACCCAGCAGCCCAGCACAAAGGAAGACACCACCAAGTTTGTTGGCCCAGGAGGCCTGCCTTCAGCTGGATCAGAACCAGCTGGGTTCCTCTGATTGCAATGCAGGGGCTGCCCAGGGAACTGCTCTGAGCTGCAGGTGTGCAGGAAGCCCCGCCAGAGCAGCTTGTTTCCTGTGTGCACAAGCAGGTGTCCCACTGTGTCTGCCTGCAGCTCCACTCCCACAGGGTGGGGGACGAGGTCCCCAGGCCAGATGTCTGCAAATCAACAAACTGTCTTCTCGGCTTACTGCACTGTGTCTTGTGAGCCCTGATGCCCAAGATATCCTTGGCAGTGCAAGGGGCTTCGGAAATGCTGGAGATGCGAGACAGCCACTTCAAAGGGTGCGCTTGCGCAAGAGGAAAGCACAGACCGAAGGCTTTGTCTCCACTCACTTCCAAGGGAAGCATCTGGAGAAGGCTGAGAAGTGGAAGGAGAGGAAGGGCGACTCCCAGGGTGGGTTGGGGGGCACAGTGCAGGGCGTGTTCTTTATGTCCTACCACATTTGTTTTCACTGACACCTGCTGCCTGCACCCTTCAAACCTGAGCAGACTGTGGAACTAGACTAACTTCAGATCCTGGCTCCCCTGGCTGTGTGACCTCGGGCAGAATGCTCAAGCTCTCTCTGCCTGGTTCCTCACCTGCAAAATGCAGATCACTGCATCACCCATCCCATAGGGTTATTATGAGGATTCAATGGGTTAACACATGTGCAGAGCTCGGGACAGTACATGGCATAGAATGAAAGATGAGTACCTGTCAGCTACTGTTGGTGACCATCATTATCATTGCCAAAGCCCTCCTCTCTCCCAGCCCTGTTCTATTATGCCTCCAGTTATCACAGTCCCATCAAGGCTACTAAGCCCTAGCCTACAGGAGCAGCTCCAGACCCCAAGCCCATGGCCATTCCAGGGCTGCAGCACCCACTGGACTCCAGCCCCAGATCTCAATGTTCTTTGGCCAGCCTGCAGGTCTCACCAGCCTTTCTTCATATACCAGATCCTGCCTTTTGCAAGCCTCATCTGGCCTCGACTAACTTTCCCAGCCCAGAGCTATGACACAATGGTAGCCCTTGCAGAGAGCCACACCCTACTCCGCGGCCCAGGCTGAACCAAATGTGCATGTGTAACCATGGCCCCTGGAGTCAGATTCACGGCCCCACACTGTCAGCACCAATAACAGACAATGATCCATCAGCACTCCCTAAATCCCGAGCCAGCATCTTCTTGCTTCCAAACCAAGTCAATTTAATACCTGACACTCATACCAAGAACTCACATCCAGTAAGGCACCATCCTTTCAGCCTTACAACCTTCACTGACAACTTCCCACCCCCGGATCACTTGTTAGCAACAGGCTCCCTACCAGGCACAGGACATTGTCTGCTGCAGCACCTGCCACCCTCCCACGCTTCTCACTCAGCCACATCTGGGGCTTGGAGAGTGCACAGCCACAGCCCATCACTGGCATCTGCCTCCTCCTGGAGACCACCACACATGCGGACTGATGAAAGGACAAGGCTGTGAGATTATCATTGGCCTTACTTTCTGGGAACAAAATCCTGAGCACATGTCCACTGTCATGTTGGCCTGGACCAGGGAGTCAGGGAAGGCATATGTGATGTTCTCTGGCAGCTTGAAGCACCCGCGGTACATGACAGTCCTCCCTGTGGGGAAGGAAACAGGTTTCTGGTGAGAAATAATGCCTGCGGTTGTTGGTATCTGTTATAAGGGAAAATGGTGGCTTCAGATCCTGAAACGGGTGTAAATACTCAGGAGGAGCAGGTTTCAAGTCAGAGAGGGCAGCCACCCTGGACACAGTGGGCGGTCGAGCCAAGCTCTGGAAACCAGGCAGCAGAGCCCCGGTCACCCAGGGCCACCAAGGGACCACGCGGCTGCAGCCGCCGCATCAGGTTCCCTTCTCCCGCCAGCTCTCACGTCCCATCATCTATCCTTCTGTCCTTCCCTTCTTCCAAAAATCTACAAGTGCCTTCTGCCAAGCTGTTCTCCATACCTTCTGGTGGAAAAGTCCAGCTCCTTAGCTGGCTTCTGCAGTGCTGAACAAACCTTCTGGAATGTTCCAGCACCAACTGCTCATATTTCTTCTAGACTCATCAGAGTTTCTCTAGATGGCATCCTGACTCTCACCCTATGCTCTTTTTAAACCCAGGTCTCCTGGGGCTCAGCATCTCTTCCAGCTCTCTTTGCCTGCCATACCTCTTTGGCCAGCAGCAGAAATCCTCTCTCCAGGCAAAACTACAGAGGAGGACCAAACCCTGGGCCTGGAAACACATCCAATCAACCACAGCACCAATGATCTAGATGTCAGGGCATGAATCTGTCAGGGCATGGATGACAGAAAGCAGCCCGGTGCCAGGGAAACAGTCTAGGCTTGGCACTGTTGTGACTCACTCTGAAACCTGCGTGTGTCATGGACTCAGAGATTCTCCATTTCCTTACCTATATAACACCCAGTAGTAAGAGCTGTTTTGAGGACCAGTGTGCACCTGCATGCCAGCCTGTGATGGGCCGCATCTCCCACCTTCCTGTCCTGCCCTGCCCTAGGTAAAGGGCCTAGGGTGAGGGCTTGTGCTGGGCTTACAGAACTCCTTCCTGTCCTGTGGCATGAATGGGCCCCCAAAGAACAAGGTATCTAGAGGGATTGGGCTGTGGTCCTCAGCCAACTGCACTGGGGTGGGACAGACCCTGGGCAGACAGGCTCCAGGCTATGTGGCAAGGGAGGGTGAGCAGGACAGGTAGGGCACAGGGAGAGCAGGGGGATCAGAGCCCCACTGAGCCCCAGGACACAGGAAGTACAAAACAGCTCCTGGGCAGAGGCTGCTCCTGGGGAGAGGCTGCATCTGGGTCACCCCTGTGCTCCCCACACCCAGCCTGGATACATGGCAGGGGCCCAGTAAGTGCTGAGTGAATGAATGAACTGCACACAACAGGACACAGGAAGGCATGGCATAGCTGCAACAGCTGAGCAATGCGAGGCATGCAGGCAGCATCAGCTGCCTCTGGACTGCGCTGACTTCGCTGACATGACATGGCAAAGAGGCTGTCATGGAGAGCAGTCTGCTCCACAGCCTTCCCCCTCACTCTCCCGGTGAGAGCTCAAGGGCTACTTAGGGTGGGAGGGTACCTTTGCGTGCAGCCTTGACGAACTGCTCAGCACCCATCTCATCTCTCATCCCAACCTGGGGGACATGTCCCTGGGTCTTACTCCTTGTGAGTGATCCTTGCTAGTGAGAAGCTGAAATTTAAGATGGGTGGTCATCTGGTCACCTCTTGGGAAAGATCCTGTCGGCTCATACCCAAGAGGGGAGTAGACAGGCAAAGGTTAGTCACACGGGCTCCACAGCCTGCCAGAAGGGGTGGTTTGTCAATGTTTTCAATATTAACCATGACATCAGGTCTAGCTGGCTCAAGATCTGCAGCTGGCTTGAATGACTGGGCCATCTAACCCTTAACCAATGGGCAGCCTGAAGCCAAACAATTATCTCCAAGAGTCAGTGGCTAAGCAGGCAGGAGGAGCTGGTATATCAGCCTAGAGCCCACATACAGACCTGGTCCTGCCTGGGGGGCATGGGTGAGTGGTCAGGGGATTAATGTTATATGAAACTAAGAAAATCAAAGGTCCAAGAAGACAGCCTGGAGTTGATAGTTTGGTCCCCAGGACGTCCATCTGGATGCCAGGTGATAGGGCAGGATCTATCCATGTACCATCTATCAATCTACTCATACACCATGTCAAACCCCTGTGCCAGGCAGCCTGGCACAGAGTAGGTGTCAATGAGCATCTGTTGCATTAATGGTCTCATTAATGAATCCATAAAACGTGTTGTCAGGATCTTCACTCCATCCCATTCCCCTGTCTGCAGCCCTTGTTTCCAGACACATTTGTCTGAATACTAGAAGCATCTCAGCAGCCTCAGTTGGCCAGGTCTGAGCTCTAAGTCACTTCCTGTCACTGACCCCATATACAGTAGCCAGGGTTTGCTTTTAAGCTCACCCACCAGTCTCACAGCTGGGTTTCTGTACTGCTTGGAAAACTCATGTGTTGCTAGGAGAGCTCTCCCAGAAAGCCCTCTGCAGTCTTAGCTTCTGACCTGACATCCCTGTCTCTGAGCTCTGCCCCACCCGTGAACTAACAGGTCTCCTGGAGTCCTGTTACTAGATCCATGGCCAGAGGTGGTTGTGTCCGCTGAGTCAGTGTGCCTGGATGCTGGGCCGGGCCTCCATTATCTGCTGCCCCACTCTTGCTAGGGTTGGGGAGGGGTCTCTCCTGCTCTGACTTCTTTCCAGTCCAGTCCCTCCTAATCATGAAAAAGATGGCCCTTGATGTGTGCAACCATACTATTTTTAACAAACTCCTTCAAATTGCGTTAAGTGGATCTGTGGCTCTTGCAATGAGGACAAACCTGAGCTTCAACGGCATCTAGTTGGCCCCACCAGATGCTATCTCTATTTGACAGCACTTTGCGTTGAAATTCTCGGGACTTTAGTATTGCTGTCTGATGCATCAGCTCACTCTCCCCTCTTGGTTGAGTATTTCCTCCTGAGTTGTGTAATTTTGAATTGTAAGCTCATCTTCAGTGATAATCCATCTATGGGAAATCTTTACACCTGGGCTGGCAGCATGGCTGTCAAGAAAGACTTTGCATTTGCCTTTCTCAGTACCTCCTAATGGTTCAGAGCCAATTTTCATGTTTTTTAGGACTCAGTAGACAGTATAAATTTGAACCTCAAAACTCAGGCCTGTAATAATTATAAATTCTTAAGAAGGATTTCTTTTATTCAAGTGAAGCTTAGCTCAAAATACATAAGTTTTTCTGTCTCAACTGGTAGGTGGTATTTTTTTTTAATCTAAAATTTCAGTGGATTATACTTCAGTGAAATTGAATCCCACTTTATGCAGAGGTTTATACCTAATTTCTTCTACTGATGGTCCAAAAGCCTCCTTTTCTGTCCTATTTGGACACTAAAACCTAATCCATGTGGCCATGAAGACCAGTGATTTCCCTCTGCAGAGACCTGGAGTCACATAGTTATCTTCTGCTCTCATCTCACCACTGTGATTTTTGGTTCCCTCCTCATTTCTGGAGCCAGGGATTTCCTTATTTTCTTGCTAGTTCAGCTACATATTTTTAAAAAATGTTTGTTCAATTCTGTCCAGCATTGCTAGGTGTTTTAGCTAGGAAACATTCAAATTATCTGGTCTGCCCCCTGCTAGAAATCTAGGTCTGCCTCTGTACTTTACAAAATAGATTGGAACCCAACCTGCCTGAGGCCTCCTGGTCAGTTGCTTCCCTTGCAGCAGACAGGAAAGATGTGCCTCTGTGATGAACTTAAGCAACCTTTGGCAGATCCTAACCCCACTTCCTCCTGCCACAGTCTGTCTAGTGAAGGTGGAAAGGAAGGGAGGGCGCAGGCTCTTTCCCACGTAGTTAGGATGAGGGGCAGTGGAGGGACATTGGCGAGCAGGAGACAGAAGCTTGGGGAGAGGCTGGCACACTCACGCTTCCTGGAGCCCAGCTGCAGCTCCTCCACCCGGTACACAGAGAGCCGGCCAACACCCCCGCACACGGAGCCCTTCTCCCCTTTGCACTCATGGTTACATTCCTCCAGCCCGACGCTCATCACTGGGAGCCGGTTCCCACAGTAGCATTCTGCCCCGGCCTCCAAGCCAGCATAGACGTAGGATCTGCGGGGAGAGTAGGGCCTGGGGTGAGTCCCAACCTTGGCCCAGAGCTAGGGCTGGGGTCCTCATAGTACTGAGGTCTGGATCAAGGAATGGCAGCTGGGTCTGGGGCTGAGATAAAGGCTGGGTCTGAAGCTGAGGTTAGGTCTGGGTGAGGAGAAAGGGGCCACAGCCATCAGCATGCAGCTGGTCTTAGGGGTCAGTCTTCAGCTAGATTTAAGGGTCACCTGGCTAAGTTTAGAGAGAGAACAGTCTGTCCTTTGTGATAAACTGATAAGTCCCACTGGTCCCTCCCGTCAGCCCTGAGCTTTGCCCCTGAGGTGCCATCCATGGTAAAAGGTTTACATTGGATCTAAAGTAGTGGTGGGCTGGTAACTTGTTCTCAGTATGGGAGGACGGGAGCATTAGTTTGTGGCGTTTGTCAATTTCTCTGGTATAAATACTCCCATCACAGATGAGCAAGCTACCACTGGCTTAGGAATGGGCTTACAACATTTCTAAAAATGTCACAGTCTGCCCTCACCACGTGATGTGAAGTGCTGCCCCCATGTGACAAACGGGTGTTGCTGCAGACCCTCCTGCCCCGAAGACTGTACCTCACCACCTGCACCCAGCAGGGACACTTGTCAGTAAAGAAAGATCGCAGATGGAACCTCTAAGGACCACCCAGGGCTTTAACTAAAGAGGCCAACCCACATGCACCCCACACGCACAGTGACTCGTGAGCGCCCTGAGGGTGGGACCATTCCCTGGCACGTGACTAGTGTCTGGTGACTATCGGGTGAGCTGGAAGGACCAGAAAAAGACAATTGTCATAAATACAAGATAGAAATATACTTTTCCTATAGAGCTAGAAAGGACCTCAGAGAAATCTGGGTTAAAGACCTTTATTTTACTTTATGTGTAAACTGAGGACCAGGGAAGGAAAAGAACTCACTGAAGTCACAGAGCTGGACTAGAACCCCAGACTCTTAATGCCAAGCCCAGGGCTCTTTCCATAACCCTGTGTCATCTCCTCAATATGCTTTTTTATTCTGGGACCCGATCGATCGAGCTCTAACTATCCAAGTATCACCTGGCTCTGGAACTGTCTCTTAACCTTATTTTCAGGGGAGTGAACAGGGGCCCCCCCACTTACCGCTCAGCACATGCATCCTGGCAGTGGGAGACAGTCATCTTTCTCAAGTCAAAAAACACAGCACCCTTCAGAGTTCTCTGCCGGCCATCATCACTGAAGCATCCGATGTATGTGCCTGCAGGCAGGGAAGCATGGCAGAGACTCAGACGCCCTGAGAGAGAGGGGTCCTGATTGCGGGTCTGCCCTTAGGATTGTCTTTCCTGGTCAAGGAGCTCCCAAGAGAAGCCCAGGGGATGGGGCACTCCAGCCCTCCCTGCAGTGCTTCTGGACACTTCCACCTTGTTCCCTTCCTGCCTCTTTTCTTAGTCAGTGGCCCACTGTCCCCACAGACACCCTGCCAGAAGCCAGCATCAGCCTGAATACCACTTTCTGCCATCAACGCCAGCATTCCAAGTCTGGCTGGTTTAATTACCTCCCCCAGACGGTCCTCCTCTCCATCTCTATCTTTCCTGGCTCAGGGAGGCCTCCCTGCCTCCACTGATGTCCCGACTGGCAGGTTCTGTCACCTCCTTGTGATCCAGGGGGAAGGAATTACTTAGGGGAAGTCTGATCTTAGCTAAGATAAAGAAGATATTGCAAACAGGGAGAGCAATTTCAAGAAAAAAATCTACCATCCCAGGGGAAATAGCCCCCATCACTGGAGGTGTGTGAACAGCTTCTGTTTGTGAGAGAGCTGCCCTGTGTGGGGATCGATAGGACCAAGGGACTGCTGGGCCTGCACCGCTCTGGGCCTTTCTGGCACATTCCTGGAAGGAGACTCTCGGGGAACGTGACTCCACAAAGCAGTGGTGGCATTGAACCCAACCACACACCACACATCAGTGGGAGTCTGTAGCAGCCCTGCCCCATCACCCCTAGAGAGGGCAGTGTCTCCCAATGCACGGAGAAGCCCGGAGAACTCAAGCACAAAGCAGGTGTGTCAGGCGTGTAAATGCATCGGAGCGCCTTGAGGAATGCCACTTTGGGCTCTGCACGGTCCCAAACTGCAAAAGCTCAGCCACAATAGCTGTGCCAAGATCTGTGACAAAGATGTCGCCTGTCCCCTCCGAGAGTACCTGCACTCAGCTCACAGCCATCACGGCCTCCAGAAATTAGCTTGTTCCTGCAAAATAACATGCCCAAGACCTCCCAATAGCCTGCTGGTTCCCAGATGACTTGTGAGGAGTGATGTCCTGGTCTCGCAGTTCGGGGGCTCCCTGAGGACAGGCAAACCCATCTCATTCCTGCCAGGAACACGGCCCAGAGCAGAGGCTCAGGGCTGCTAGCTGAGTGGTTGGCAGGAGTGGGTCTGTCAGCCTTCATTCCTGGGGTCTGAATCAGGCAGAGTGGTTTTTCTGTCTGTGAACACCATACTACTTCCGCTTTTGACCTTGGATAAGTCATGTCAACATTCTGTGCCTTGATTTCATCAACTGGCAATGGCTAAGGGCCCACTCCACCCACCTCACCCTGCCAACCTCCCTTCTCCTGCTCCATGTTTAGACCTGTCCCTGCTCCCTCCCTTGTGTCCACCCTTTGCTCCCCACCTTCCTCAATGGCTTCTATTGCTGGCCACTCCAGCCCACTATGGCCTCTCTCTTTTCTGGATTCTAGTATTTTGCACCTGAAAAACTTGTCATCACCCAAATCCCTATCATTAACTGTTGCTAAAAATCTTTTATGTCTGTGTGTCCTATCTCTGCAAGGTGACTTAAGGCTCATGGAGGGCAGGGGCCACACCTTCACCCAAGCTCATCGGGGAAGGCCCAATGCCAACATGGACACTACTTATTAACCGGGGGTTAGAGCTCCGAAGCACCAGGCTGATACCCTCTGAGGACCCAAGAGGAGGAGCAGAGCACCCAAATGCAAGGAGGGGAGGGTTCTACTGACTGCACCTGTGTGCAACTCCTGGGCCCCAGCTTAAAAGAGGCAAAGCAGAGAGAGATGGCCAAGATGGTAGGGGAATGGATCTCTGCCACATCGGGAGTAAGTGAAAGACGAGACTCAGATGAGAGAATACTGGGGATATGGAGGGAGCAACAGCCCCTTTGGTGTCTGCCATAGGATCTCGCCCCCTTCCAGGCAACGAACCCCCTGAGGTCACACACACATGGCCACACCCAGTGTCTGCCCCTAGGCAAAACGGGCTACACCCCTCCGCTTGGGACTCCCAGACACCCAGGCCCTGCAAACTTCTCTTTATGTCTTTATATAAGTCTCAGAACTACTAACACCAGAATGAACCACTGCAGAGAGCATTTACTCAGGTCAGCGAGAACAAACTGTTCTTCTCAGCCTGCCTACTTAGTAAAAGAAAACTAATATTTGAGAAATTTTTGATGTGTTGCTCAGCAAAGAAGAAATTCTATTACAGCTTTCAATTAAAAATCCCAAACACAAGCTCAGGGGTTTTTAAACATTTATCACTGTTGATGGGAAATTAACCAAAAGGTTCTAAAGGTGCCTGAGCTAAAGACTCCTGAAGGCGGAGACCAACATATATGCGTTTTTGGGGAAGTGGGGAGAAAGACCTTTGGGAAGGGACTGACTTAGATTTAGCTCTAGGTTCCACCACTGTTTGGTTGGTTGTGTCACCTGGCACGGGCATCTTCTCCTCCCTGAGCCTCAGTTTCCCAATCTGTAAAATGGGAGTATGCTCCCAGGGGATTCACGGGGCAGTTGTAAGAATACCATGGGGTAACATGTGGAAAGTATCTAATGCAAGGCAGGTATGTGATATGTGCGCAATAATGATTGTTTTTATTATTACTAGATTGTTAATAATAATAAACATTTTAAAATTACTTCCCTGAAACTCAATTCCTTCAACATTAAACTGGTGATAGCACCACTTACATTATAAGGGTGTTTGAGATTAAATCAGATGAGATAACACACATACATCTATACAGTACAATGCTTGGCATGTAACAGATGTTCGAATAAGTAACAGCTATTATTCTGATCCTATACTCTAACCTGGGACCTCATGTGATGATGGATCAGTAAATATCAGCTGAATAACCGGCCCATTAATAAGAGAGAGAAAAAAATGTTTTCTAATCGTCAGGATAGAGTTCTTTGGAAAACCAGGAGTGGCTGGCTGACCAGTGACCAGCCGAGTGGAGGGCAAGCCAACGCCTGGCTGGCCCCCGCTGCTGAGGGCAAGAGCCTGGGAGGCAGACGCCCCTCCCGCCTCGCTCTGTTTGTGAGGAGGTGAGTCCTTCTCTCCAGAAAAATAACAAGAGGCTTTTCTAACTCCCTGGTGGAGGCAAGAATGTGTGGAAAAGAAAGGACTTCCGAGGAAGGATACACTGGGACACATTCTGAGGTGGATTTATTACTTTCGGCTGAAATGGAGACAATGCATTATTGTCTGTGACTCCGCATCTGTTCATTTGCACATCAAAGTGGACATGCTGTGAGGCTATTAACGATGGCTTTGGAGATATTGGAATGTCTTTGGAAATTACTATCAATAAAAAACAAACTGGCTATGGAGAAGTTACTATTTTTCCCCTAGTAAACTTACTGACATTTTATTCCATTATGGATGTTGTCCAAGGTATAATGAAATGCTCAGTGATTGATGGAGCCTCCTGCAGCTTCCCCGGCAGCAGGATCCCCTTTCAGGAGGATGGCGGGCTGCCCAGGGCCACAAAGAGATGCCCTCTTTGTCTGCAGCCCCGGCAGCTGTCCCGAGGGTTGGCCTGCGGACTGCCCTCCCCCAGTGAGGCCTGCCTGGCTGTGCAGGGCCCGGATGGGGGCTTCCAGAGGGCTCTCAGGCCAGTGCCCCGCCTCACCCCCTTTCTCTGATCTCCAGCTGTGGGACATCACAGCCTCGCCCAGAGTGCAAATTCTTCCTTAAAGCCCGGGGGATATTCCAAATATTAAACAACCTCTGTCCAGGAGCTCAGGACAGTAACCATTCCAATCATTCAACAATTGCTAAGGCATACTGGGATGTGACAGCCACCTCTCAGACCTGCCTACATCCAACCACTATCTCATCCGCCTTCACTGCAGGCCTTTCCATCATTTCTTCAAGTCACTGGAGATAACTTAAAGTAAAGGGGTGCCCACTGGTTCTCCTGAACAAACTTACTCTACACCCAGAGCTATAACTAGGTCATCCTGAGCCCTCCCCTCTGCTGGCCAGTGGCCCAGAAGCCAGGTTATAAGGAGCTTGTCACTTTGGTCTGGTAGGTCCAAGGCCCCCTGCACGTGCCTCTATCATGCCTCAGTCAGGCTGTGCAGTAATCATCTGGGTGCATATCTGCTTCTGCCACCGGACTGCGCTCCTCAAGTGTACAGTGAAGAGCATACACTGAGACTCATGCAGGGATCCTCAATAAGAAATAGATGAAATAGAGGAATCATGGCAAATTTTTCCCAGGTCACAGAACCCATAGCTGCAATACCAAGAGAAAAACCCAGAACTGCTTTTGAAAGTTGTGCACTTTCTATGGCTTCTTCTCAAGAAATCCAGGTCGACTTTTGCCAATGCTTTACATTTTAGTCTAAATGAGTGGCACTGGTGTAGCCTGCGCAGAGACCCAGCTTCATGGTGTTCTGCGGAGAGTTTACAGAAATCACACCCATGTAAAATGAGCTGCGGAAACAGTTCCTCGGATCTCCCTCATTCTTACATGGAAGCCTGTCTGAGGAATCCCATAACAAAAGGCTGTGACCTAGATGATTTCCGAAGAACCTTCTTTCCATGGAGACAGGGATGCACAGTCCTCCAGTTACTGGGCTACCAGAGTCATCCTCCCAAGGCGAGACCAGCTTGTGCTCCTTCCTCTTCCCGGGAACCTTCTCATCATCTTCAGAATAAAGCCGAACTCCTGGGCCCGGCACTCCTATCCTGCCCTGATCTGGGTCTAAGACACCCCTCTTGCCTCATCCATTTCCCTATCTTGCCGCTGAGTTCTCAATGCTCCAACCACACTCCTTTCAGTCAAGAGAGCAGTTCCCCCATGATTTATGTGTGGTACAGGACCAAGTGAGGTGGCCAGGGTTGGTGGGGGGGGGAGGGGTGTTGAGACAATGACTCAGCTCAGTCACCACCTAACAATAGCCACAGCACTTCCCAGGTGCTCATCACAGGTTCAGTTACTGGGCTGTGCACGGATCTGCATAAATAACTCAGTGTAAGAGCCTTGACCTGGGGCCCAGCTACCTGATGTTGGAACCCCTGCGGTGTGACGAGAAGTCAGTACCCTGCCAGTGCTTCCAGGCCTTGCTGCCTCCAGGCTGCACTCTGGGATGTGCAGTCTACCCTTGTTCTGAGTCCCCACCAGCTCCTGCTCCATAATGTACCCTTTACTGGCTACCTTCTCTTCCCTGTCTCACTTTCCACTTCCTACCAGTGTTCCTGGGATCACGTCCCAAATACACCATATCCATTTGGCTCCTGGTTTCAGGGATTGCTTCCAGATTACCCCAACTAAGAAAATGACCTGGGGAATATACTTCTCTGTGCCTCAGTTTCTTCTCCTGTAAAACTGGGATATAATAATAGCATCTGTAAATAGCATAGTTCCAGATGCACAGTAAATGCTATGAGTAAGCTATTTTTATTAAGTAACAATAGCTTCCAGCTACTGAGTGCCAAATAATATACTAGGTCCTCTAGCCCAGTAGTTCTCAGCTTAAGCATGCATCAGGATCACCCAGACAGTATTGCTCTCTACACAGGCTGCCGGTCCTGGCCCCGGAGTTCAGGCTTTGGTAAATTGGAGAGAACCTGAGAATCTGCACTTGTTAACAAGCCCCCAGGTGAGGCTGAGGCTGCTGGTCTGGGACCCTACTTTGGGAACCACTGCTCCGTATTATCACATTTAATCTTCACAATGACCCTGGGGTAGGTATCTCTATCTCCATTTCCGAGGGACCCAGAGAAGTTAAGTGACATTCCAAGATCACCCACCCAATTTGTGGCTGAGCCAGGATTCAGGCTGAGGTCGGTCTGAACCCAGACTGAGCTCTAATATACTTGCGCATCTCAGCCTTGAGCCATGTAGAAGCCCTGTTGGTGAGTAAGCAAAACTCCAAGGGACTTCCCATCACAGGCCCCTCCTGTGTCCTGCAGAGCAGGAGGGAAGGGACAATCTGTGAAGGCCACAGGCCTGAAGCGTCTACTTCTCACGCTGCTGCAAGGGCCAGAGAAAGAGGCTCTCTGTGACCTCATCCTGTGACCCCCAAGCAGGGCTCCTGGGAGCAGCTCCCAAATAGACAAGGGGTACCAGGGCTGAGTACCTACCTCTGCTGCTAGCAGCTGACCTGGGGGCCTCGGGGCCCTGGGCAGGCAGCCCCTGGGGGTCACCCATGAAGTGGTGGAACCAGCGGCGCCGGAGCTGACGCAGCTCCGAGTTTCGGCTGTGGAGCCAGCGGGGTCCTGGCCGGGGCTGGGCCAGGGGGCTCCGAAGCACGTCCACGCCAAGCAGCAGCTCTGGGCTGACACGGGGGTCGTGCAGGGCTCTGCTGTCCAGCAGGCCCACACCCAGTGCCATGGCAGCCACGGGTAAGGCCTGCAGGGGGCTGGGCCTCGGGGGGCCCTGCGGGAGGGCCACACGGGCCCGCTGCAGGAGCAGCAGGCTGCCGGTCATCAGGTAGGCGGCTGTGAGGAAGAACAGCAGGAACTGTGTTCGGCGGAGAAACTTCTGGAGTCGGAAGAAAGGTTTGGCCATGCCCCTGGGCGTCAGGGCCCCTGGCTGGAGCCCAGGATGGCCCCTAGCACCCAGGTGAGGGGGAGGCCGGGGCCTCCAGAGGCCTCATCTCTGCATCCTGGCACCAGCCTGGGCTCTCCTGGGGTTATTGTTCCTCCTGCCTCATTTCCAGTAGGTGCTCAAATAGCACCATCACTTATCTCCAGCCGCTGGGCCCTGTAGCTGCAGCTTCTGCCCGAGTATCACGAACTTCGCCATCCCTGAGCTCTAAAGACTCTCGCCTCCTGGCTCAGAAATCTGGAAGAGCAGAGAAAGGGCACTTAGAGGCAGTAGTAGGGTCTACCACTCCCACTGCACCAGGGTCACACCAAAGAGGCCTGCTGTGGGGCAGGAGCATCGGACAAAGAGCTGGGTTCAAATCCCAGCTCTGAAACAGGCTGGCTGCTTAACACTGGGCGGGTTACTTAATCTCCCTAGGCCTCACCTTCCTCATCTGTAAACTGGGAATAACACCCTCCTGTTGAGCAGGAGTGAAGCCCCAATAAGGAGCAGCAGACACAGTAGCTTTGTACTGAATCCTTACCACGTGCCACACACTAAGCTACGTCTTTACGTATTATCTCATTTAATCCTCACACCAGTCCAGGGAGGTAGTTACAGTAACATCCCATTTCACAGATGAGGAAACTGGGAAAAGGAAGCAAAGTAATTTTCCTAAAGTCACACAGCTGGCAAACAGGCGCCAATGCTGGGAACCATCTATATTCAGAGGGTATACTCTGAACTCCATGGCCCACCTTGTGATGAATGGGACGCCACCACAGGCAAGTGCACCCAGTCCAGGGCATGAGTATACAGCAAGTGTTCAACACATGTGTACAATCCACTGACTCCCAGGTGTGCAAGCTGTGTTCCAGAAGTTGCTTCTACAGAGTGGGGGCAGCTTTAACACAGGAGAGGGCACAGGGGAGAAGGTGGGCTTGCGCAGCCTTCCTGGGCTTCCTGAATTCGGCAGGTTCATTCAGAAGGAAGAAGATAATGCCCAGGCCACGTACCTGGTGTGGAGAAGGCCGCAGGGCTGTCAGAGCGGCCTTCTGGGGGTGTCTGCCTGCCCCCAGCACTCAGCTCTCATGCTGGGCTTTGGTTCCCCTGGTAGTGCCTCTGGAGTGCACTGGCAGTGGCTGGCAGGGGGTTCTGCAGCTGCTGGGGGCTGGGCTGCCGTGTGAGGATGGCCTGTAGCACAAGGACAGGCTTGTCCCTGGAAGAAAGGCTCCTATGAACGTGACTAAGCTGCTGCCTGTTACTAACGTGGCCTGGGCCCCTGGCCAGGCCCACGAGCCCCTCAATGGTTGCTCTGTGCACTGGGGCCAGCCAGCTGGGTGTGAGAGGAAAAACAATGTTTGGGCTCTTGTGGCCTGGCATTCCAGGGGCAACGGTCCAGAGGGGCCCAGACCAGCAAGACCCTTTCTGATCAAACCCTGGCAGCCTCTAGGGAGGGCAGGGGTCTGGAATATGAGTTTGGGGGTCTTTTAGGCTAGGGTCGGGGTGGCAGGCTTGGCAATCAGCAAATGAAGGTAGCATTAAACTGAGCTGGGAAGCCTTTTCAGATGGGTCTCTAGAGTTTTTATTTTCTCTCTAAGCTGGTATTTTCCAGGCCCACCCCAGCCAGATTCATCAGATTTGTAAAACCACAGAGAAAATCCTAAGAAATCCTGACTGATCTCCCTGCCTCCAGCTTTGGTCCCTCCGTTCCCTCCTCCACAAGGCGGCCAGGGTATGATCCTCCTAACACACAAATCTGATCATGGTGCTCCCCTGCTTAAAACCCCTTTCAATAGCTCCTCGTGGCTTTTGGGATAAACTCCAAGCTCCTTAGCATGACATACAAAGCCCCCTTCATAATCCACCCAGCCTCATCTCTTGCCAGGCCTTCCTTCGGCTGCCCAGTCTCGTGTGTACAGGCCCACATGCCACATGTGCACACACACATCAAGGTCTAGCAAAGACCCGGCTTTTTAGATCCTTTCCTCCCTCTTTGCCTGGTGAACTGTGTGTATTCTCCAAGGCCCAGCCCCAGAGTCACCTGCTCCGAGAAGCTTTCTCTGACTACTACCCGCCCACTGGTATAGATTCCCCAGTCTCCTCAAAGCCCGTGCTGATGCCATGGCGGCACTCATCATCCTGGGTGATTTCAGTTGTCCGCTAATTGCCAATCATCCACGCAGGTCTGTGATCACCTCAAGGCCAGAGGCCACACCATATTCATATTTTTAACTCCAGCTCCCAGCATAAAGCCTGGTAGTGTGAATGCCCAGAGATCTTTATTTCCAAATACATTTTTTCTAATGAATTGATAGGTAAATCTTGATGTCAGAGACTTGCACCTGTGGGGTCTTAGGGCAATGAAATCTCAAGTTCATTTATCCAGCAATGTGCGAACTTAGCCTGAAACATAGAAGAGATGGAGTGATGCGTGAGCACAAAGGACACAGCTTAACCAAGTTGGGTCTTGATTCAGACACGTGGATGTTAACAGGGGCACCTGAGAGCTTTTCTCTGTTGTAATTCTATGAAGAGGGGTTTCCCAGTCTGCTCGCAAAGGGCTTTCTGCTTAGAAGATTGGGATTCTATCAGTGAAAATCCCTATACAACTGAAATGAAAGGGGAGAGGGAAGGACCCCTGCTGTGAAAAGAAAGGTTCTGATGAGATGGAACAACAGCAGGGTGGGCAGTGGACCCACAGCTCTGAACTCTAAAGGCAAGATGTGGCATGATTTCTATACATATTTTGTACACAGGACTTGGAATCCTGCTACCAGTAGACACAGAGTGTGCTGGAATGGAACACTGTCAGGATTAATCAATTAGGATTCAACTGATCATGCCTGGGTTCCCCAAGGACCCCCACGGTCCTCTTTGGAACTGTCCGTCCACAGAAGAGCCTCCCCTGGTCTGGGGAAGTGTGTATTAGGTGGAGAGGTGGGGAACCAAGCCTCCAGGCCTCCCATAAAGCAGCCTGCCATTCTAAACTTTTAAAATCACAAAGCTGATTCCTAGCCCAGAACACCTGCTGTGGACAGGGCAGGGAGCCTGAATGCCAAAGTACTAGAAACTTGTGCCCCTGCCCTGGACTTCCACCACACTTCCCCACCAATATTACATTTGCCAATTGCCCCCAATATCTCTGACATGTGCACCTCTCCTCAAGGCTGGATGCCCCTCCGAGGCACAGCCCCTTATCTATCACCACGTGCCCAGATCCCAGCACACAGCCAGCAGGGCAGTGACAATTCACATTTGCATGACTGAACCGGAGAGAGGCCTGGGAGTAGGCTGGGTGACATGAGCATCCGCACAAGGGCTCCTAGCCAAGCCGCAAGGTCGGTCAGACAGCAGAACCGGCCAACACCTGGTGGGATATCTATCCTCTGTCCGTCTGCACTGGGCCTGGGAGCCCATCCACTAAGACTTCCGTACCCCAAAGCCAGAGAGCATTCCATTATTGCAAATCCACCTTGGGCAACCCACTGCATGGGCAGAGCCTCAGGCTCCTCATCTGTTAAATGGGGGCAAACTGCATTGCTACGGGATCAAATCAGGGCATAAAACTTGTTACCTACAAAACATACCATTCACTGCTCTGCATGCCAAAGGGCCAAGGAGGATGCACCACAGGGGAGGCCTACAGCAGCTATGCCCCCAGGGAAAGCAGTCTCAAGGGGCCCCCTCCCTGCCCTCATGGCCCTCCACTCCCTGGGATGAGCGCAGTATCCCCTGTTGCTGGAATGTGACCCTACGCTAAGATGGCTGTTAGCTTCTGCTTTAACTTTTCACAGCACCATTTATTAAGCTCTTGGGGCATTAGTAAATAGGCTGCACTGGGCTGCATCCTTTACCTGCACCACTTCATGTACTCCATACAACCCAAGGCAGATATGCCCTGATTACCCCCATTTGAGGGCTGCGTGGCTAAGGCTAAGGTGGACGAAGATCAGACAAATGTGGCAACTATGCGCCTGCTCCAGAGCCCATCCTATACCCACTAAGCTTCCCGTCTCTCTCTCCCGCCACCAGCTCTGGCTTCACATGAGGCAGGATTTATTCTTGAAAGGAGTTTAGCATGCCTCCATCAGCACCTTTCTGTAAACATGCCAGGGCAAAGCTGCCGGAGATGGTACAGCACGTGGCATCCTCCGAGCCAAACCTTCCAGACACTGCCGCGCAGATAAGTGTTCCCGCCTCCTGGGGCCTCTCCTCTCTGCAAGTCTGGAGCATATTGCCCCAAGCTGTGCTTCCCTTGTGACACCTCCCATCTATGAACCATTGCCATGTGCTTAAGGGGCAGGATGGGAGCTCCATACTGGCCTGAGGCTCTGCCTTTCTGGGAGTGGGGCCAGGGCTGGGCATGGAGCTTCAGGCTGGACAAAGGTGGACACCCACTGCCCCACTCAGTGGCCTCCTAGAGGACCCAGTGAGTGTCCTCGCAGAGAAGGACTGGACCTGGGGGAGGGACATCCTGATGGAATGAGAGAATAATAGGATACTGGGCTTCTGGGGGTCTCAGGGAGGGAGAAGCCTAGTGCAGATGGGACCTCAGAAAACCTGAGTTCTTTCCTGTTGCTTTGTTCCCACCGGGGCCCCAGGAGGCAGCAGCTGCTGAGCCTGAAGGAAGGGAGGTGGTTGGGGCAGATGGCACCTGCCCCTTGGCTGGGGGTTTCAAGGGACTGAGCAGGTGAGGACTGGCAGCAGGGAGAGGGGAGGAGGCAGGCCCTGGGACTTGGAAGTGGAGAAAGCTCAGAGCAGCCCAGGTCTGGCCTGGGCCACTGACGTTCAGTCATGTGACTCTGCCGCTCACCACCCATCACAGAGAGGACAGTCAGTGGCAGGTGAGGGGGCAACAATCATACACCCCCAGAAGCATCTCAGCCACTGTGGCCACTGCAGGGAGGGCTTTAACCCTCTAAGGATCTGGAGCTGTGCACTCTTAGTGAAGTGAGAGCCTTAAAGAGAAAGGAACAGAGCCCAGTGTGTTGCTCTTTGGAAGGAAGCTGGGCACTCATGGTTCCAACAGCTCGGAGCCCCAACCTCTATGACTGGCAGCTGGCAGTGGGTGACAGGTGTCTCAGCCTTGGGACCTCAGCCAAGCCACACCAAGGAGCCTCCAGCCAGGCTTAGCACCCTAATTACCCCTTCCTGTCTTTTTCCATCCCCTAGCCCCTGCTCAGGCTCCGTGCCTGTCATCTAGACTTTACCCCCTCTCCAAGAGGCTGCCCCCTGCAAGTTATCCTTCTGACATGAAGAACCAGTAGCACTCCAGCCCGCAATGGCTCCCCAGGGCTCAGGCAGCCAGGTTCAGGTTCCTCGGCCTGGCATTCAGTGGCCCTCCTTAGTTCAGTCTCCTAGACCCTTCCTTCCAACATTTCTTTCAGAATGTGAGGTGCCAATCATGGTCCCCCAGTCAGCATGAGATGCTTCACGCCCCCTCACACATGCTCTTCTACTGGCCAGGGATGCCTGGGACCTGTCTCTTGGCTCTGAATCACTTTGTGGCCATCAAACTTCAGCTCCAGTGCCACATCTTCCACAAAGCCTTCCTGATCCCTGGAGTCAAACTGCTCCCCACCGCAGATGCTCTGTGAACTGTGCCCCGTGATATTTTCTGCCTTGAGTCAGGGCTCCCTACTACTCTGCCACTCCTTCCAGCCTGTGAGTGCCCTGTAGGCACAGATAGTCAGCACCTCTGCCCACATCTGGATGGAGCACACAACAGACCCCCAGGAAATCTGTGCTAGCTGGCCATCCTCTAATGCTCAGGCCCCTGCCGCCCTCACCCTGGAGTCCCATGCGTCTGGGCCTTGGAAGCTCAGAAAGAGAGCAAAGAATGCATTATATATAAATCTGCTGGGCCCTTGGGTGGAAAAGGTCTGGGAACTGGGAATCAGGTGGGGTTCCCTGATTTTGGAGAGGCAATTTTTTGATCTCCTGAACTTCAGAACTTAAGTTAAAAGGTCCAAAATAAGAAATGCTGCTTAAACGGTATAAATGTAAATGGTAAGGTCAAAACTCCACACAATGCAAAGGTGGGTGGCAGGGGGGTTTCTCCACCAAATCCATTGCTGAGGTTCATAGAAATGAGAATAAATCGTTACATTGTACCACGTTAGAGAGCACACGGTACTTCAGCACACCTCCAGAGGGGCTCAATGGATGAACAGATGGACAGATGAAAGAGTGATCGGCCCACAAACTGTGAAGTCCAAACTGTGACCATCCCCATTCCGTCGATGCAGAATTTGAGACAGAGAAACGACCAACTAACCTGCCCAAAGACAAGCAGCTACTGCTCGACTGAACTCGAGTTTCTGGGTTCCTGGGCTATGGTAACATCGACCTGTCACATGGTGTTCATTTGTTCAACACCAGGGATGGGAAGTGTCTTCCAGGCACCATGCTAGGGACTGAGGCTGCAAGAAAACGCCAGCCCACACTGTGGGCTGGCATTTTTCCTGTTTAATTGGTTGATCTAGAGTCAATCCCACTCTTGAAATAGCCCATCCCAACCTCTTCTGGGTTATTTCTGGGCCACCTCTCTTATAGACCCCGATTTGGTTCATATGTTTCTCCCACTCGGTGGCAAACCCTTGAGGACTGATTGTCGAATTCCTTTGAAGGTTGGATAAAGCTGAGCAAGTGAGTGGAGTACCCAACCGAAGTCACCTTTGCTCTTCTCTGGCTCTCTGCCCACCATGCCTGCAGTCACTGGGATGAGGAACTCATGCCATGAGGGGAGGCCCAAGACACCTTGGGCACTCCTGTCCGCAAAGCCCTCCTCACCCCTCTCATGCCAAGACAGCCACCCACTGGGAGGGGAGTCGCATTCACAAGGGTGTCCAGGAGCAAGAGAAGAAAGGCAAAGTGGAGGAGAGAGGCCTTAATAGCTACCACTAGGTGCACTGTATTTTCTAGTTTATAAGATTCATCTAGCCCATTCTTCCACCCACTTCTCATGTCCACACTGGGAGGCAGAATTCTTCCCTAACCGTATTCTCCAAAAGCGCAAGAGTCTGATAATTTTGCAGGCAGTCTGTCAACATGGTAAGTAAGCTACAGCAAGGAGAGGTTAGAAGAAAACCGTATAAAAACAAGACTTTGAGGCCCAAGGGGAAGGGAGTCAAAGGCCAGGTCCACGCACTCAGTCCCCAGACAAGGAGGGCCTGCCTCCAGCCCTGCTCACCCCTCCTGGTGGGTGCCATCATCAGACACGGGTTGTAGTTAAAGATGGAAGGTCTGAACACTGAGCTGCCCCAAAGTCCTTGGCTCTGACCTCAGTGCAGCCCCAGAGGGAGGGCTGGGGGAGCTGGTCTCTCCAAGGCTGACTGGGGTCTGAGCCAGATGAGAGCACAAGCCTGCCCGGATTGTCTAAAACAGAAACATGCCTTCCCAGGAGGCCCCACTATTTGATACTGGCCTGGAGGTTCTGTGCCACCTATTCAGGCCGCCCCTACAGGGGACTAGCTCTGAGACGCATTCCCCGGGACTAGGCCTTGACTGACCTGGCTGGAGACTCAGACATTAGCAGAAGACCAACTGGTGGCCCAGAATATTCACTTCCGCCTGATTAGGCAGACAGGAGGAGGGGACAGGGGTCTGGCCTTCTGCCTAATCCAGGCTTCTCTTTACTTTCAGCCAGACAAGCTGCAGGGCACAGGACAGCACCCCACAGGGCTACATTACTCACTGAAAAGAGGGAACCCTTTACCCCAAAAGAAGGCATTCTTCTGGAAAAGCTGTGCAAATGGTCCTGCTAGAGACAGGAGGATGAAACCACAGGGCCGGGGGGGCTTCTCCTAGGGAAGATGAGGCTGCCAGGCTCAGCCCACCAGCCCAACTACCCTCCAAGCTTCCCTTAGTGAGTGTGCTTGGGAAATTGACACACCCACTCACAGACCAACACAGCTGATCCTCCTGCTGTGGGCCCAATGAGGCCTCTTCTCCAAGGGACATCTGTGGCCAGAGCAAAGTGTATGAGTGGGGTAGAGGGGGAGAGGGGCACACCTGAGGGAAGCCTCCCCCTTTTCCTCTCTCTAGCACTTGGAACAATCAGGCTGGGGCTTGCTGCAGACAGAGCAGGACAAGCCCCCTGTTCCCTCCTCTCTCACTCCATGTACCCGATCAGAGAAAAGAAAAGCCCCCAACTGTATCCAAACTATGGGGTCCCAACCTGGGACAGACAGCTCAAGTGCTCCCATAACCTGAAGTACTTTGTTCCAGCAACAAAAAGGATGATGACATCTAATGTTAGAAAAGTACAGTGGAGTTCTGAGTCTGTCCATCTTGGGAACAGCTGGGGAAGGGTGAGTGTGGGAAGCAGCTGGATTATTCCAGAGGAGGGATGTGGGGGCTGGAAACCTTATATCTAGCTTTCGCACTGCTCAGAGAAGAGACAGAGGTCCACTCTCCGCCCCTGCCGCCCCAAGGGAGAGCAAGCACCGAGCAGGCATCATTCGCGGGCATAGATGCTCACCAAAACAGACTACTGGTGAGGTTACCCTGAGGCAGGGGACCCACGGAGGCTTCTCGGGGTAAAAGAAAAACGCAATTAGCAGTCTTCAGTCTTAAGTCTCCATCCACACCTAGGAAAATGCAAAGCTCTACTTGGGATAATTTTCCGGACAAAATACATACGTTTCACTTTTGCCTCTGCCTCTGTTCAAGTTCACCAAGAGACGGAGAAAATCCTCCGCTGACCGGAAGCCTAGGTTGGTTGCAGAACGAGAGGGAGTTGCTTCTGGGTAAACGACTCCTCCTGGGAGAGGCGGTGCGTACCCCAAATCCCGGCCTCGCCCCTTTCAGAGCCCAGATCTGCGACTTCGTCCGGAGAAACGACGGTCTCTCAGGATTCCAGGAGGGGAACGCGAATTCGTAAACTGCCTTGCGCACCGCCGCCGCATCCCGCTCGTACCGACGCGCTCCCCACACGCGCGCACCCTGCCGCTTCCCTGGCCCCGCTGGGCGCCCCCGCAAGCCCGCCCCGAAGCCGGAGCAGGTGTAGCCCCGCCGCGCTCCCGGCGACGTCTGCACAAACTTGTTTGCAGGCGGCCGGGGAAAAGCCTGCCCACCGCCTGCCGCCCGCGCGTGGGTCCCGACTGAGGCACCGGGGAGACTGGACTTACCCGGCGGTCACGGCCGGCTGGGGCGCCCGCTCCGGGGGCCACCCGCCCGCCTCTCCCGGGCGCCGAGTCCGCAGCCCCGCAGTGCCTGGAGACCGGGCGCCCCCGGCACCCGCACGACTCGTAGCCCGCGGTCAGCGGCCCAAAGTGCCCGGGCAAAGGGCGCCGCCCCCTGGCTGCCTGGGGCTGCGGACGTCGGGCTGAGCGCAGCAGCCGAGCAAGCGGGCGCCGAGCGGGGCGGCGGGCTAGCGGGCGCCCGGCTCTGCACATGCTCACTCGCGCGGCCCGGGGACAGCGGCCGGCCGCCGCCGGGTCCTAGAGGCGTCCGCTCACAACGCCGGCCGCCCGGCGTGGGGGAGGGGTCGCGGCGGGGTGCGTGGGGGCCCACACCCTGCCCAGGGCGGCCTCACAAGCCCACCCCGAGCACAGACGCCGGCACCCGCTCGCGCGCTCTCTCTCTCTTTCTCTCTCACACACACACACACACACACGCACGCACGCACGACCATCACCTCGCTAAATACATACCCCAGACAAATGCTTTGGAGCTCACACCCTGACACACATACAGAAACACACTGGACACTGCCACGCAGAGGATCTGGCCACCGCACTCACTCAGACACAAACACACAGAATCAGACGCACACTGTCGGATACAACACACTGACTCATTGCTTCACAGACACACTGACACCCTCTCTCTCTCACACACACACACACACATAGGGCTCTGTCCTACTCACTCAAAAACAACCTGGGACAGTGTGACAGGCACACACACAGTTTGTAGCACTCTGATAGCAACACACAGTCAGATGCACACTGGACCACTGTCCCATGCAGAGCTAGACACTGACATCCACATGTTTACGTGCACGCGCACACACACACACACACACACACACACTGCTGAGACAGTCACACACAGAATTACCACCCCACAGAGAAATACACTGACACCATCTCTCACGCCTACACACTCAGGGCTCTGGCATCAGCTATGACACTGCCCCACACTGACACACAGTGACAGACCCATGCTTGATACAGTCACTCACAGAAGCAGTGCCACATCCCGGAGTCCACTAACAGGCACACTCTTGTATAGAGTGTCACACTGGGTGTTGACCCTCAGGCACACACGTATGCGCGTGTGCACACACACACACACACAAAGGCGGACAGGTGCTGATACAGAGACATAGGTACACAAACACACTGCTGTCCACAATCCCCCTCTTTAAATAAGGGCTGGATTCAACCTTAAGGATTCCCCCCACTACCACTGTCCCTGCTACTCAAAAGTCTCCAAACCGCAGTGCTACCCCTGCCCCACCAGGCATGTCAGTGCATCAGTGGGCCCTGTGCTCACCGGGGGCTAGCTGCTGATAAGCACCAGGAATCTGAGTACCAGCAGAGGCTGCAGGAGCAGAAGGCTGTGCCGTGTGGCTCTAACCCCGTCTTCCTGAAAGGGAGTTTCATGCCTCCCACTCCCGCTAGGGGCAGAGCTGTTTGGCAAGGATCAGAGGAGCCGCTTTCAACAGGTGCAGGGCCGGCAAGGAAAGAATTAGCCTGGGAACCAGTCGGATCCCCACTTTGGGTCAGCCCAGTGGCTCCGGGAGGGAAAAAGTTCTCACAGCTAGTCAGGCAAAGCCCCAGAATTAGGGGTTCTGGAGCCCTCGGGGGGAAATGAGAGACACATCCTGTGCTGCAGCAGGTATTCCTGGCTCACAGCAAAGCCCCATACACGCCTCGCCTCCTATAGAATGTGGTTGTTTGTGTTGTTACTAATATCAACAAAAATAACTCACTGTCCAATTTAACAGGGCACTCCGATTTTCCAAGCCCTCCCCTGGACCAACTACATGATTTGGAGGGCCCAATGCAAAATGACAATGTGGTCCCTTATTCAAGAATTATTAAGAATTTTAAGAGACAAGAGCAGAACATTAAACCAAGCATGGAGCCCTTCTGAGTGCTGGGCCCTCTCCTGCACAGGTCTCATGCCACTGAAGCTGGCCTTGGCTCTCTCGTGCCCATTGTCTCACCTAAAACTCACAATGAGTCTGTGGGTGCCTTCATGTGAGCATGTTACAGATGAAGCTCCAAGACCCAAAGGTGGATGAATGTCCAAGGCTCGCTGCAAGTAGAACCCAGGGGAACTTATGCGCAGCTCCTCTGGGAGGTCAGCGGTGGCTGCCATCAGGAAGGAGAGATGCCTCAAGTAAAGAGAAGAAAAGGCTGTTGGGCATCTGTGCCATCTCTGTGCCTGATGCCACACTGCACCTATTTGCAAAGCTCTCTGGGAAAGACACACACAGTCTCTGTGGTGGAGACAGGCAGCACGTGCTGACTCTGGGTGGAGATGTTGAGAGAGAAGGCAGGTAAAAGAATCCTGGACATAGTTGAGAAGGGCTTGGGATATGCAGCTCAGGCCACCTTTAGGGTGCTCAAGTGGCAGGACTATTTCCAGGTTGGGACAGAGCCCTCCTCTGTAACCACGGTGACAGATAAGAGAGTATGAGCCCACCTTGACTTTGGCTTGATAACAGAGCCACTCCCAACCCAGTTCAACTCTCTGCCTTGCAGAGGAGATAGGAGCGAGTGCTTTACTCAGCAGTAACTGGCATGTGACCCGCATAGAAGCCCGTGATATTAGGATATCTTCCAGGATATGGACAGAGATGGTATGCAAGTGCCTGTGAGCAATGAGAGCTGTAAGGCGGAGAGTTGTCAGGGGCCATTCCAGACAAGGGAGGCATCCTGGTGGGTGGCAAGGAAACAAGAAACACATGGGAAATATAGTTGCCAGGAACTTGACATAATTGCTGCAAGGTCAGGGGTGGTTGGAGAGTAGGGTGGACTGTGACTGACCACCTGAGCCCTCACTTGGATCATTGAAACCAATAGACATAGCAGGGATACAGACCAAACCTGAGCCACCTCACCATTCTCCCTCCATTGGCTAGCCACCTAGTCACCAGCCTTTGGAAATAGTCATTCAATAAGGTATGAATCATCCATCCCACATTTCTGCATTGTGTTGACAAAGGAAGCTGAGTAGTCACAGGCATCAGGATGACGAGCCCAGGCAGGGGGTTCAATCCCAGCTTCATTCCCCTCTCACCTTGAGCAAGTCATAATCTCTCTGAGCCTCAACATCTTCTGCAAATTAGTGGAAATGCACCCGTTATTGGGCTCTTGTGAAGATCAAAGAAAATACCTGATGAGTACCTAGCACCCTCTCTGCTACAGAAAAGGCATAGAATGCATTTTAGTAAATACTACGTGAAGAACTTTCTGCCAGAGCAATCCAGAAATGCTGCATGTGCAATGCTCTCTTGATCTACCAGGCTTGTAGTGCTTTTTCATCCCCCAAATGCCACATCCCCAAAGAGGCCTGCCCCAATGTTCCAGCTAAGCACCCACCTAGCCATCTGGTTCCCAGGCTGCATAAAATGCATTACTCCAACATGACCTTGTGCGTTTATTTGTTTATTGTCTCTGTGCTCCTCACTGAGTCCCATGGCCATCCCCCAATGTAGAATTTCAGCACCCCCAAAGCCAGGGAACTTTCTTTCTCATTCAGAACTTGTCTTTAGTGTCCAGCTTAATTCTTGGCACATAGGCATGTTCACAAAATATTTATTAAATAATTCATTGATTTTTAAAAATGCAGTGTGTCCAGCTTGACACATTTCTAATGAACCCAAGTGGGTTCCCGGTGGTCAACATGTTTCTTCCCAAGAACTGAGAGACTGCTCCCTCTTGCTCAGGTCACAGTTGATCCTTTTTTACGCCCCGCCATCTTCCAACTGTCCATTGGATTCTACTGGCCACCAGGGAAGCACAGAGGAGTGTGGATGGCTCCCTGCACTGTGTCCCCCTGCCACAGACCTGTGTGGTGACCATGGTGGGGAAAATGGAAGTTCCTATGGCCAGGATCCTTACCTGACCCTAAACTATGATGTAATTGGTCTACTGCGAGGCTAATGCTTCCACACCCATTAGCAATGAGGTATTATTGACTGAGTCACTATATAAAGAGCTCCGTCAAGTGCTCTGGGTGGAAGCAGAGACAGAGGACAATTAAAGACCTGCAGACTGCTGGGTGCACATGTGACTCTAGTGCTTTACCTGCACTGGGAGAATGAAGCCCAGCAATAAACCCTTTTACCCCAAGAATGGTCCGTTGTCATTTTTCAGTCTCACCAAATCCATAGTGAATTTTCCCAGGGCTGAAACCCTCAGGCAAGACACTGCCAACACCCAGGGCACCTGCACCCAGAGTCCTCCTCCTTTGACACGTAACTCATGACTGCTGCCCCATTAATACCCTGGACCACAGGAAGACCTGGCTTGCCCATCCCAGAGTAGCCTTGAAGGTTGCTCTTTGCTCCTGCAGAGCAGAGCATCATCCTTGGAGAGAGCACCGTTCAGAGAACGGTGGCAACATTTCAGGAGGAGGGGCACGCAGTCTCTTCCTTCTCCCTTTGCATTTTTCTGCGGTGCTGCAGGCTGTTTGGTGCCCCCTCTGGGCACTCAGACTGGAGGCTGGGTTCAGCACTTTGCTGGGCTGCTTATTCACATGTCTCTCCGGTGAGTGCCGCAGCAACTCAAATATGCCTCTGTAAAGATGCCAGAGACACAGACGGTAATCATACCCCCTGCCGAGCTGTGCCTGCAGACACCAGAGGGAGGATGAGCAGGGGATGGCAGGAACCTGTACCTGCCCAAGAAGGGAGGAGTTTCCTGAGGACTGGTCTGGTCTGGGAGCAGCTGGACTTCCAAGCATGGGCCAGAGTGCCCTGAAAGTTTCAGGGATGTAGAGGCAGAGAGAGCACTGGGCTTAGAATGAGGAGGCAGCCTGAGTCCCTTTCCCAGTTAAACCTGAATAGGCTGTGTGGCTTCATGCAAAACTTACCTTTCTGTGCCCTGGTTTGCCTTTCTGTAAAATGGGCAGGTTGTCTAGTTGCTAGTGAAGGATCTTTCTTTAAGGGAGGTGGGAAAATGAATGAGGGTCTTTAGGGATCAGTTCTGCTTCTCTAGTCGGGCAAATTACATCACTTCTCTCAGATGTAGTTTTTTAATCTGAAAAAAGGGGAAAGTACTCCAGTGCATGGTTCTTGGCAAGGGTATATATATATATATTCAATAACACACAGTGGTGAGTTTTCCAACTGGTGGTAGTTATGATGATAACTCTAACTGGCCCTGGCATGGGGGGTCTCATGTAGCAGGTGCTAGTATGAGGTTTG